GGTCAGAGGGAGAAGCAGACTCCCTGCCAGGCAGGGAGCCCGATGCGGGACTCGATCCCGGGACTCCAGGATCATGACCTGAGCCGAAGGCAGTCACTTAACCAACTGAGCCACCCAGGCGCCCCTGGATAACATATTTAAAACTCACAAGAGATCAAACAATTCAAACACCAGAGAAGCAATTCTATTAATAAGAAATTAATGTCAGTATCATTATTCAGCAACTTAGCAGATAAGAATATTAAATGTCCTTCATATATACTAGGAGATCCCAAGAGAAATTCATAAATGAATATCACTAGCAAAGCCAGAAAAAAGGCAGAACATGGCTCTTTAGATATAATTAAAAATACTTAGCATTCTTACTGCCTTTCTTCCATAAAAAGGTAACTTTTATGCTAGAATAGATTATTTTGGTTAATCAAGTATTTCTCTTAATAAAATCACAATATACACTGCATATGAATCATCAATTTTTAAATACTCCATCTATAAAATATTTTATCTAAAACCATACTGAAAATAATTCAGAAAGCCCTTGAAAATCTTTCAACCTCAAGATCCTCATTAAAAATATAAAATGTAGACACTGACAACACGAAAAGTTAGTCTTGATGGAATTATATTTTATCAATTCTAAAAGGCATATTAACTTCTGAAACTGGGATACATCTTTTCGTAATGGAAGGTATCTAGTCACTGCCACTGGTCTAGATTAAAGTCGAATTTTTCCAGGGAAGATGTGTATCTGCTTCTCTGGTCATCTGGGAACACCATCAACCTGAGATCAGTGTGAATTAAATCCACTGTTGCAGGCTTTTGTGGATCACACTGATAATATGACTTCAGACTCAAACTTGAAGCTTGTGGTTCAAATTCTCAGGGGAGATTTTTTTGTTTCTTCTCTAGCCAGTGTCATGTTGACACTTGTAGTTTCTTTACTGTCCCTTTTTTGCACAGGTTAATTTCTCATCTATCCTTAGACTGAAGGTACAGACCTTTGGTGAATCAGCTCTGTAAAAGAGGTCTCCTATGACTCCCCATCCTGAGTGTTTTTTCCTTCTTAGTGGTACATAACATAATGACACTTTTTACCATTTATAATGTCCTAGATTTGATGAAATATTGTTTAAATAGGTTTCTGTAGTTTCCATTAAGTAGACTTCAGACCTTCTATATAAATTAATCATTAACTTGCAAACCTCTTTTGTTCCACTGAGTATTTCCTCCTTAAGCCTGTAGCTTTACATCCTAAAAACTTACAACACGTATCATTATATTTCACAAAAAACTAAATTACCATGTACAATGAAAAAGTCAGAAAATAAAATGTCTAGTTATAATTTATCTTTTTCAGCCCAATTCCTAATACTTATGATGGGTTAGAAATTTCTAGTTGAAAAAACAAAATATTAGCATTTTCCCTCAAAGCCAATAAAATCCTAAAGCTTAGACAAGTTAGCTTTTAGAGAAGACATACATGATTTGAATCCAAGGACAGAAAGGTAAACTCTGAATTACTTAGGTATAATAACGGAATTCATTCTATTTAGCAAAGCAAATTTAGAATAGCAAAAAATGTACTCATCTTTCCAACAAATTATTACAAATTCTAATTTGGCTTTATGTCTCATAAACCCAAATGAATCTTCATTTACTTTATTATTTCATTCAGTATAGAGATCAAAACTAAAATAAGTTAAGAAATAAATAACCCTCTATCAAAGAAGCATGATTTTTCTCTTAAATATCAACATTCTGATAATTGATTACTTTCCAAAACTCTAAACAATGTTTAATAGCAATACCTTCAAAAAGAAAAAAATGCCAAGTATACTATAATGTGAAATTATATACTAAAGGAAGAATATGAGAAAATTGATCTTAAAATGAGTCAGTGATGTACTTAGAGACAATCTGACAACCTGAATGACCAGAACTGAAAAGAACTCATTTCACTTGACCAGAGTTGACCTGCTCTACTTAGCAAAAGCAAACTTTAAGATGTTCTGGTTTCCCTTATAATCGACCTGTAGGAAAGGCCATCTACTGGAAATAGCTAACATTTATTAATCATGTAACTTCTCACTTCATACTTACAACTATCCTATGAGGTAACTGATCATTATTCTTTTATTTTACTGATGAGGAAACTGAGGCTTAGAGGTGTTAAGAAACTTGTTTGTGGTCACCCAGCTCCTAGGGTAAGAGTAGCAATACTGATCTATTATTAGCTAGTAACTTCCAGCACTGGTTAAGATATCTGCCTCAGGTGTTATGATTAGTCTCTGGGAAAACAAGATGGTCAAGGTCCAACAGAAAAAGAGAAACATATAAACACTAAGTACAACACTGTTTTATAAGAACTCTATAAAGTATGTAAAGGGGCCACAAGAGAGGGATGAGTAGGAAGGCAACAAATCAGCTATCCTCTGCAAATACACTAACTGTTAATAATCAATGCTTCTCTAAATAAAGAACACCCAAAATGTATTTCCTGGTCTATATACTTTCTTTTCAAAGTATTAATTTACTGTTTTCATTCATGAAAACCTATTAAAATATGTTCTGCTGGTCTAATTTCAGAGTATATAAAACTCACACATATTCATAGCACACATTTAATGTATATAATACGCATAAAATCTAGACTATAATGCTGAATTATTTGGTTTGGGCAGGAAGATGTACTTTGAACACAAAATGTTTCTGACCTGCCACTTGATCTGAACTGTCCGCATCAGTGATAAAAATTATATTAAGAATGAAAGGAATTTACTTTTCTCTGTGACTCTTCTAAAGTAGCAGAAGAGTGTTTTAAGCTTCTCTGGTTTCCTTGATGAACGTCCTTCAAACAACCTGAAAAAGACCAAAAATAAAATAAAAAAGGGTGATTTAAAATGCCTTAATGACTCACAAACAACTAAATATATTGCTATCAAGTAAAGGAAGGCAATTCTATAATGACAGAGAACTGGAAAACCAGATTTAAACAGCATCTGGGGAGGACTAAAACCAACTAGAACCAGGCTTCTTAAAAGTTGTTCGAGTCAGATGGCACTCTCTAACAACAGTGTTTGTCCCATCTATGTTCCTCCAGGGAGAAGGCACCATCTGGCCCCCCAAAGTCAATTAGGCCAGTGAGTTAATGCTCAGTCATTTTCCCAATGGCAAATACTAATAATTCATAATATTACTAGGTAGTTAAATGACTGAACAAAAATGGTATCTGAAAAAAAATCCACACGATTATGTTGGGGGAGGGAGGGCAGTGGGTGGTTATGACAATGACAAGCAGGTATGACAAGGTATTTGGGGACTGACCAATCTTTGGTAATTAAACAGATATACCCTTTGCACAGTAACCAAAACAATGCCTACTCATCTAGTTTCCAGCAACCTGGACTTGCACTACTTAGTTTAGTCTTCTTCGAAATGACGTGGCATTGTTAATGGTAACACATAATGCAATTTATCCTGAGGAAAGAAAAGCAGGGCTTTGGAAGCTTATGACCTGAATAAGGAGTTCGCTGAAGGATTTCAAACACAAAAGCATGCTTTGGGCACAAGATCTAGCTTTCCAAAGGCATTTAAAAATTATAAAGAAATTCTGCAGCTATAAATGATGAGGTATTATTTATCTGCCTCTAGTCATACACTCTGGCTTTACAACCAGAAATCCTTTAAGTAAAAGTTCACTTTAATAAGTGCCGAAATGGGTAAAATTTTTCATGATTAGAAAAGCAAGCTTATGTAACTATGCAGAGAGGGAAAAGTTAATTTCATGAGAAAATCCTATTGAGAACTGAAATGAATTAGGAAACGGAAAGGAAATGTAGATTTCAAATGATCCTGTTTTCAATGATCTGAAATTCTATGTTCAGGGTCAATTTCTGAGAAAACAATTTATGTGAATACTTATTTCCTGAAAAGAATACTAATGTCAGAAAAGTATTTTAGCTAAATTTAAAATAGAACTGATTTTTAAAAACAGTTTAAGAGTGCCTGTATGGGGGCACCTGGGTGCCTCGGTTGGTTAAAAGCGTCCAACTCTTGATTTCAGCTCAGGTCATGATCTCAGGGTTGTTACATCAAGCCCTGAATTGGCTCTGCGATGGGCATGGAGTCTGCTTAAGATTCTCTCTCTCTCCCTCTCCCCCCCTCCAACTCTCTCTCTTTCAAAAAAGAGTCCCTGTATGATAATTTTTACTCATCCAAAAGAACTTACTTTTCAAAAATGTTTATTACAAATACTCTTAAAATCCAGCTGCCTGCTGAAAGAAAGGATCTTTGAGAGTGCAGGTTTCAGCTTGGTTTCTTCTGCAATATGTCAACCAGGATAGTTTATTTAAATCAAAATGATAGTCAAAATGAAGAAGCCACTTGGCAGTTTAATTAAACATCCAGTATCAAATAAATGTGATTTACTAAATGAATATCTGGGGAACCATTGCAAAATCCCTTTCTAGGTTTACTACTTAGTAGAGGGAAACAGTATGAATATAAAGGCAGCCATCACCTTTTCTTAGAGATGAACTGATGTACTACATAATTCAATTAAAGTTCCTCTTCCACAGAACTGCTATGTAGTAAGGAAAAAAATGGTTGTTATCCTTAAGAAATAATTCCCCCAAACATAAAAAGTGTCTGTAGCTTCTATTTGTGGTCAGTTGTTTGTAAAATCATTTTGAAGTCCACATATTTCATAACCACAATGACAAATTAATAAGCCTTAGAGCCTCTTGGGACTATAGATTTATTACCCTAGCAATATTGACTTTCCTGGAAGATTATATGGCAGTTAGTATCACCTACTACAAATGAGCACCCATTGTTTATCTTGTAGATCCTAACCTTGTTGGTACAAAGTCAAGCAGAATCTCAATGTATTGTTTATTTGTCGCTCCAAGCCTAATTTCAAATCACTATGTAGCTAAATATGCTTTCCCATCTTCCTGATGGAGCAGGAAGTGCATGTGAGGTGGTAGGAATAAGAGACAAGAAGGAGGTAGAAAGTCAGGGAAGATGAAGCAGGTTTAAAACCCTTGCATGGGGCCTGGGTGGCTCAGTTGGTTAGGCGACTGCCTTTGGCTCGGGTCATGATCCTGGAGTCCCAGGATCGAGTCCCGCATCAGGCTCCCTGCTCAGCAGGGAGTCTGCTTCTCCCTCTGACCCTCCCCCATCTCATGCTCTCTCTATCTCATTCTCTCTATCAAATAAATAAATAAAAAATCTTTAAAAAAATAAAAATAAAAAATAAAATAAAACCCTTGCATGAAGTCTAAAATTCCACAACAGCGAAGTCTGAAAGTACTATGCGTAGCCACCCAAATAAAATGAATTATCCTGGTATGAAAGCAAGTGAAAATAACATAAAAACACAGTCAAACAACATGAGTGAAAATCACAAGAGTGATGTAGTATCTGAGAGACAGCATCTAGGGGGAGGAGGAAGACAAAGACACTGAGAAATGAGCTCGAGAAAGGAGGGAGTCAAAAAGATGAGGCTGGGAAGGCGGAGAGGAAGAGACTAACGAGATGAGGCTGGAGACAGAGGGAAGGAAGAGAGACAGAAATGCACACAGAGAGAAAAGCACCCAGAGAAATAGAGACTCCAAGAGAATGAGACCTTCTTATAATAATCAAGCACCATCAGATTTAACTTGTCAACATTTTTTTTTTTTTAATTTAGGTTTTCACGTCCCGGGTGTGTATATTTGAAGGCGTATTTTGAGTCAGCAGGTATGCAGATGACCATGCACATAAACTACACCACAATAACCCCTTTGCATGTAGGAAGGACATTTTGGCATTTAACTGAATATTAGAGAGTATTAAAAAAAGCAAACAGAAAAAGCCAGTCAGGCAACCTCACTCTTGTTCCAAACAAAACTTTTTATTTTCAAGGAAATAAGTCAATCAAGGGTCAGATACTTATTAACTGGTGTTTTTCTTTCCATACATATAAAGAAAATCATAGTTTAATAAAATCTTTCCCTGAATAGAATACTGATAACATTACTGGAATTGAATTCTAGCCACACACACACACACACCCTCATGTGATTTCAAGTTAAGGATTAATCCCATTAGTACACAGTAAATCAAACTCAAAGCACTATAACCTCCACTTTAAAATGGATGCAAATGATAATCTGGAACCTAGCCACAAAGTCATTCTTGGCTTTTCTGTGAAGCAATCTGCCATATGGCCCCAACAGGACTTTCAATCCAGGGAAGAGGCAGATGTAAAAGCCTCCTGGGCTGACCACTGCTACAACCCACAATTAATCTCTGACCATCAGTTTCTAAGCAATCTCAGAAGCATCAATGCTAATCACATTGGAAGCCTTTATATGAATGTTTAGGCCCTGAAAGGCAAGCAGGGGAAAAGGTCAGGGATATTTAACATAACTAAGCAGAGCTGGAAGAACACAACAATAAATAAAAACAGGAAGACTTATTCAATTTATTGACGTCAGCCTCCCACCACATACTCTTAGCCATTTTTCTTATTCAATCAACTAGCTAGCCATAGCCCTTTTGAGGCTAACTACACTCACACACATACAACTCCCAACTGCCAGAAACTATAATCATAAATAGCAACTAGGCAAAAAAGAAAACACCACCACAACAAAATGCTCCATAATCAGCTTACCAAACGGCTCATCAAATTAGGTACTTGATCTTTCATAAGTCACATGAAAAGGGGGAACTTTTAGTTGTTTTCCATTTCTGGAGCACTCTCAGAGCATTTTGCTCAAGAGGAAGTGAGACATAATGAAAGAGCATGGAGTCTGAACAGAAGACAGTGTCCAAGTCCCAGTTCTGCTGACAAGTCATTTATTCTCACTAAACCTATTAGTATAGAAGTTTCCCTACCTAGAAACTACCACAGATAGAATCAAAGTAAGCTGTTAACAGACAGCATCAATGATCATGTATGGTCATGATCCTGGTTTTTTTGCCAGTTTAGGCTTATTAAACACATACCATCTCAGTGCAGCCAAGTGCTGACATCCTGGCTGCTAGGATTCCCTAAAATAATTGTGGAGACTACCACAGGATTTACCTGCCCTTAATTAATTTTCAACATTCTGGTGACCAAAAGAATATCCATCAACCAGAAGACAGGAATATGCCTGTATTCAAATCTTCAATAGATTAAACTCTCATTTGGTGAAAATGCTATTGGGATACTATGAGTTTAAATCCCTCATGGTCACTCTGGACTGATGAATGACTTTGATTCATTTTACAGATCAAGAATTATTTCTAAGGATAGTTCTAATTTCTGATTAGCTATGATGTAAGAAGTATTAATCTAATTAAACTGAGTAATTATTCAAAGAGAGGCCAAATTTGGTTAAGGGACATAGCTTCTAGAGGTTAACTTTATCCTAAGTTTGAATCCCAATTATACCAGCTAACTTAGTGAAGTAACCTGCCCTCTTTAAGCCTCCATCTCCTTATCTGAAAAATGAAGAAAAAAAAAAAACCTAATTTATAAGTTTGATACATTAGGTTAAAAAATAACAGCATGGTGATTGATACACAGCAAGTACTTAATAAATATTAGGTATTGTTATTAAGAATTATTCTCATGAAAAAAAATTCTCATGGCCAGCAAAGAAATCAACACTCATTTACATAAAATGCTTATATTGTTCAAATCCATATGCCCTTCATTTTTTTTTTTTGACAGAGAGAGACACAGTGAGAGAGGGAACACAAGCAGGGGGAGTGGGAAAGGGAGAAGCAGGCTTCCCTCGGAGCAGGGAGCATGATGCGGGGCTTGACCCCAGGACCCTGGGATCATGACCTGAGCCGAAGGCATACGCTTAATGACTGAGCCACCCAGGCGCCCCCATATTCCCTTAAGAAAAATAGCTCAGCCTCTTTTCCCATCAAACTTAACATGCTGACACTCAGAGCCAACCAGCTCAGACTTCAGGATAAATGACCATGCACAATGAAAAAGATAAAAGTGCCTTTGCCAAGAAGTTCCAGCATTCCCCTGTCAGAAGTTTAACTGAAAAACAATGATGCTTTAAAATGAACACATGTGGGGCACCTGGGTGGTTCAGCTGGTTAAGCGTCTGCCTTCGGCTCAGGTCATGATCCAGGATCCTAGGATCGAGCCCCGCATCAGGCTCCCTACTCAGCAGGGAGTCTCTTCTCTCTCTCTCCTTCTGTTGCTCCCCCTACTTGTGCTCTCTCTTTCGCTCGCTCACTCTATCTCAAATAATAAAATCTTAAAAATTAAATTAACACATGTCTTAAAATTGATATAAATCCTGGTAATTATGGCAGGAAATGGGAAGTCACAAAAGCCAAAGCTTCCCAAAACTTCTTGACTTCTACCTGTCAGCCATTCCAAACCTGAGGTCTATTTTATTATCGAGAGAAGAATGCTGTCAGTGTAGCAGGGGCCCAGCCCTTAGAGGACCCTGTGGACTTGTTTCTCTTACATGCTGAATGGACAGTGACGGGGAAGGGGAGGTTATGATACTGTGTCTATGGGGCTATAGTTAGGAAGGAAGAAGCTAGCTGTTTAAAAAGGCTCAAAAAATCTGTGGGATTCCAACCTCAAAATCAAATTACAAAAATCATCCACTCATTTTATCAACTTTGTCTTCTGCTCCACTTCTGATGATTGACTTGTAACTATTTTTCTTCTGATTATAAAAGTAATATATGCTTATTATAAACAATTTCAAAATATAGAAAAGGATGAAATAAAAGCATTAAATGGTAATCATATTTTATTAATTTTCTTGTCAGTCCATTTTCCATGCTCATACATGCACCGACATGAACCTCTGTAGAGGTGTATTAACAAATACAGATATTTTAACATAATTGAGGTCACATTCTACATTCAATTGCTAATTCTTTTTTTTAAAGATTTTATTTTATTTATTTGAGAATGAGAAAGGAGGGGGAGGAGCAGAGGGAGAGGGATAAACAGACTCTACGCTGAGTGTGGAGTCAGGCATGGGGGCTTGATCCCAGGACCCTGAGATCATAACCTGAACCGAACTCAAGAGTCAGACCAAGCCCAACCAACTGAGCCACCCAGGTACCCCTACAATTGCTAATTCTAATCATGCTTAATCTTCCGCTCCCTTTTCTGTGCTTTTTCTTGTTTTAACTGATGAGGAATGTATATTTGTAGTTATCCACAGAGAGCTTTAAGCATTTCTGAGAAAAGGGCTATAAACATTTAACCAAGATATCAGACTAATGTGATTTGTGAAGAGTTTAAATACTGAATTCTTTTTTTTTTCTTTAAGTAAACTCTACACCCAACATGGGGCTGAAACTCACCACCCCAAGATCAACAGTAGCATGCTCTACCAACTGAGCCAGCCAGGCGCCCCTAAATACTGAATTCTTCATGGGTGAAACTTAACATCTCCAATTTGTTTTAAAATTAAAAAAAAAAAAAAAATAGTGGGGTTGGATAGATGAAAACAGAGCAAAATAAAAAATTCTGGTAAGTACTGAAGTTGGATAAACATGGGTTCATAATACTGTTTTCTTTATTTTTTAGTATGTTTGTAAATATCCCTAACAGTTTTAAAAATAACTTTTTTGGAAAAGAGGCTCTCTGATACAACCTTAACTTAGTAAGAGAATGCATAGTTCTTATCTAAAAAATAAATTTAAGAGGTCTATAATTAAGTCAAGAATCAATCTGAGAAAGCTTGTAACCAAGACATCAAAGGTTTATCTGAGGGACCATCAAGATACATGCACTGACTGACTACTCACCCCATGGAAACAAACTGTAAGTGGCCATGGAAACACTAATTCTAAAGCATTATTAATTAGAGCTACTGCTTACCAAAACCCAAAACCAGAAAAACAAAGAGCCACTGGAACTGTCTTGAGAATTCTGGATAGAAATTTTAAAATTTACAGTATCCCTGGTGATCCTGGAGCTGATCAAACATTTATTCCAAATAAACAGAAAGACTATTTACTCTATGGAGATCCTTATGATTAATATAACTAATACTCTTCATGGAAACAGATAATTACATTTCTATAAAATTAAATTTCCACTGTTTACTTACATACAAAATTTGACCATTTCCTTTTCTATATTAAAAAAGAAAACCTGCAAGAGATGCATAGCCCTTAACTATGAGTATAAAAAAATTCTTTAATAATTTCTCAAATAGGGGCGCCTGGGTGGCTCAGTTGGTTAAGCGACTGCCTTCGGCTCAGGTCATGATCCTGGAGTCCCGGGATCGAGTCCCACATCGGGCTCCCTGCTCGGCGGGGAGTCTGCTTCTCCCTCTGACCTTCCCTCCTCTCTCATGTGCTCTCTCTCTCACTCTCTCAAATAAATGAATAAATAAAATCTTTAAAATAAATAAATAAATAAATAATTTCTCAAATAAGCCAAAAAATTATAGTTAATAAACAGGTTCTTTACATAATTACAATTGCAGATACCAATGCTCTTTGTTTTCTCTCAATCCTATCCCAAATACCAAAGAAATCAAAGGCAAAAACTTGAATTATATATAGCTTAAAAATAAAACATTTCTGGGCACCTGGGTGGCTCAGTTGGTTAAGCGACTGCCTTCGGCTCAGGTCATGATCCTGGAGTCCCGGGATCGAGTCCCGCATCGGGCTCCCCGCTGAGCAGGGAGTCTGCTTCTCCCTCTGACCCACCCCCTCTCATGCTCTCTCTAACTCATTCTCTCTCTCAAATAAATAAAATCTTTAAAAAAAAAAACAAAAACATTTCGTAATTGCTAAGGATAAGATGCAGTTTGAAAAATAAAAAACAGTAGACTAAGAACTAGTTTTAGTCCTAGCCTTCTGCCACTAATCAATTTCTCAAATGTTCCATCTGTAAAATTTATTTTCATTCACTCAATGTGGATTTATTAAAGGCCTACAATGCATGAAATCTAATGAAAGATAAGATCCCTGTCCCCACTGAAGGGGGCGCCTGGGTGGCTCAGTCAGTTAAATGTCCAACTCTTGATTTCGGCTCAGGTCATGATCTCGGTGTTGTGAGATTGAGCACCACTTCAGGCTTCACACTCAGTGGGGGAGTCTGCTTGAGATTCTCTCTCTCACTCTGCCCCTCCCCCAGCTCTCTCTTTCTCAAATAAATTAATTAATTAAAAAAAAAAAAGATCCCCGTCCCCACTGAAAGGATGAAACAAGCAATTATAACAAAGTAGGGTAGGTGGTACAGGAGGAAAAGCAGAGAACACTAAAGGCACATGCCTGGTTGTACAAACCTAAGAAGTACCCTGGAGGCCTCCTTTCACCCACTCACTGAACAAGTCTGTCACCATCACGCTGACTTGCCCTTCAAATGTCACCACAACTCCACCCCAACCACTACACGATCCCAGCTATCATCCTCTCCTTCCTGGTGTATTGCAATAGCCTCTCCAACTGGGTAAACTCATTGTACTATGGCCCCTCTCTACTCAGTACCCACATTGTAGTCAGAATAAACTTCTGAAAATGCAGATCAGATCAAATACATCAGCTTCCCCCTCCTCCCATACCAAATCCTTTAAAGACTTCCTATTGCCTTAGAAGGCCTACTAGGCACAGTAGGATTGCCTACTGGCCCCCATCTCCTTCTGCAACTTATCCTCTCTCTCTGTGCTGCAGCTGCACTGGTCTTCTCTCAGTCCCTGGGGATGTCATGTGCTTCTTACCACGGTACTTTTATACGTGCTGTACCCCCTGCCCACAATGTAATCATCTCTCCTTTTCTCCTTGGCAAAAACTCCTACTCACCCCTTCATACTTAGTTCAAAAGTTATTTCTTCAAGAAAGGTTTCCTTTATTAAACTATACCCTTTTCTTATAAAGTAACATAATGCTGTATACCTCTCCTCTATATAACAGAGGTATATACAGACCTTCATAGGAACCCTAAGGAGTAGCAAACCTATCCTGGCAGGATCAGAGCTATCAGAAGCAGTGACACACGAACCGATGCTTGAAGAAGGAATAAAGGCCTTGTGGATAAGAGAAAGGCACAGAAGTCAGAAACTGGTTCATCCCTTCTCTTGTAACCCTCAAGGCACTTAACAAACTGTGGAGAATACTGTAATTGCTCACTGTATTTTTGAACTAAATGACTAAATACTATTCTCTTAAAACAAACTTAGCTTAACATACTGACTCAAAATTAGGTTAACAACATGTTCCTCACAACTGGTATTTACACAATCAAAGAGAATATGGTATAAAATGGATATCTCTTGCTGGGATTTTAAATAAATTCTCTTACACAGATGACAGTATTTTTCATTGTTTCCCCACTCCTTCTTAGTGTTAATAATGGAGAGTAACCATATAATAACAAAGATTTTCATTGAATTTTAATTATCTTGCCTGCAAAATGGCAAAAATACCACTTAACTCACTGCATTATAAAGATTAGATAACTGGACATAAAATGTTTGGCCTATGGCAAATCACTGGACAAATATTAGTTCCTTCCACCTTTCTCTATTTCACTTTTAAAGAGGTGTTCTCTGAAAACATACCGATTGAAGTTAATGTCTGGGTAGCTAGAATACTCGGATTTCATCTTAGCATTTCGCCGTGGAAATGTGCAGAAGAAAGCATTAGCTAAAAGACTGGCAATCTGTTCCTGTGACATTGTGATGGAATGATTCATCTTCTGTTTCAGGAGTGGTATTGGCTGATAGAGGAAACAAAATATACAGACAAGAAGAGCAATAATTAGTTTAGCAATTTCAAAAGCAGAGGCACCAAATTGCATTTGCTAAATTAAGGCAGGAATAATTTCAGGCCACTCTTGAATCCTTAAATCAGCAGTACTGTTGAAGTCAAGGGCAGTTCATCAAGGATGATTGGAAAAGTGTACTTGTTTGACAAACTGCAGATTTCTAATCAATAATAATGATAGTGAAAAGAACACAAAACATTATTTATTAGTGGAAAACAAGATTGCTTTAGCAAGTAGGAAATAAAAACACATTACCCATGTAATGAAAAATTAAAACAAAAGATGAAACATAAAAATGCAACACTGAGTTTAGCTATTATTGTTACCTATGCTAAATTTTATTCTCACTTGTATTTATGATTGCTGGATGGAGCAATTTTTCTATTTTAGTCCTAAATAAAATGATCTAAGGAAAATAATTCAATAAATAAGTCTTTTCCTTCTAATTCTCTGAATCACACTTTACTTTGACAATTTCTTAATGAGACCTAAATCTAATTTTATTAAAGCAATTAATAGGACATGTGAATACAGACTTATGTATAACTTGTAAGAAGACAAGCATTTCCTACATACTCATTTTAAGCCAAGAAGACACAGGACATTTTTCCTTCTAAGTTTTTATGATGGAAATGTCTTCTAGTTGTACCAAATCCAAATTCATTGACCTTTTCTTTTCAGTATAATGCATGGGATCTGACTATTATATTCAGTGGGTTTTATTCTATTTTAAATGTTTAAACTACATGTTTTCAAAGACATGATTGTAAAGCCAAGTTTATGTATCAGTTGTAAAGTTTTAAAATGCTCCAACATAATGTTTAAGATGCTTTTCCTTCAGCCTTTCAATAAGACCCAGAACTAAGAATCCTGGATATCTGCATTCATTTCAAACCAGTATACATAGACAACTGTCCTGATCATATCTAAGGAATCAACACCAAAAATGAAACCGAGGAAAGGCAGGCAAGACAAATCAAAATTGCAATGATATAACAATTAACTTTTTTCTAAGTAAGAGAAAATGTACATCAGTGCTAGAATAAGAGTTTGCTAGAAAAAGAAAAGGTTAAATTTGCAGTTCAACTATTTCCCTTGGGAAAATACAAAGATAAACAAACAAGGGAAATGGAAAGACTCACTACAATATCCAAAATTCTCTCCTTTTAGGCCTTAGCAATTACCATTTCTAAGAAAGAGGAAACAGGTCATATGGATTTCCATTTCCCACCCTATACATTTATTTACAACCCAGCAATGAGTTTAGAAAAGGTGACAATGTATCAATGGCTTCAAACAAACTGTTACTTAGTTTTAGTTAAAAATGAGCTTTTAACTGCCATTTACCAAGTTATCCATAAAAATGACTTTAAAAATCAATGGTGATGTTTTAGGCTTAATGAACAATAAACATTTCTTAACCCCCAAATCACAAAGCAGTACAATTTTAAATAGAGTAATTGATTTATATTTTCTTGGAGGAGAAATGACTGAAAGCTCATACTTGGGGAAAACTAGAAAATGTGGATCTTATCAAGTGCTCAGCTAAAGTAAGAGACTGGTTTAATATGAACCAAGATCTTTCAAAAAGTTCATGTCCAAAATTTGTTTCCTTCTTTTAATTTCCTTTTTAAAAATCTAAAATTTACCTTTTGGTTTGGCCTAGAGAATGTTAATGTGATAAATCATTAAATAACCACATATGCAATTTAATTTGCAAAGATGTATTTTGATATCAAAGTGAAATGTTAACTTTTATAGCAGAGATTTACTCTTCAGTACAGTATAAAGCCCAGATTTAAAATGTTGTCCCCACCAATACATGAATGGAAGAACAAATTTGTTTTTAGCCAGGTCAAAATGTTGGGGAGCCACAAATCTGATTTTGTTCTACCAAGTGCCTTATTAGAGCTTATAAATTTAGATGTTTTTGAATATATATCTCATCACATAAAATATGGAAATGCTCTTGCCTAAGTGCAAGGGGAAGAGAAGATGATTTAAGTGATTCATGTCTATAGGTTATATACTATCAATTATGAACTACAAGTTGAATTAAAAAACCATTTAATTAAGCACATGAAACTTGGGGACACAAAGAGGATTTCCCTTCAAGAAGAATATAATATAGTAGGGGGAAATTATATAAAGATATAAATTACAAAATAATGTTCTAAGTGTGACTTGAGTGTTACAGGAGGGATTAACTTTGGCTAGGAAAGGTAGGGAAGGCTTCGCAGGGGACATAAAAGTTAAGCAGAACCTAAGAGATAGTGGGAGATTTTACTAGGTAAGGAAAAAAGCAAGGAGAAAAAGGAAAAAGAGTGAACATGACATATAAGTAAGCAAAAAACTTCCAACATAAACAAGAAGAGGAGTATTAATATATATTTTCCCTGCCCAACAGAAAAACTTATTTCAGACACAATGCATTAATGATGTGAAATTAAAGTTACATAAAATTAGAAATATCACAGTAAAATGCTAACAAATATGGCACATCAAAAAACATACAGTGGTTCTCAACTGAAGATGGCATGGCCCTCAGGCATTTGGCTACGTTTTTAGATTGTCCCAATGACTATGCTTGTGGTTTTGGGGGTACCCCCAATGACAAACTGCTGTGTGTTAAACCATTTCACACATTTGTAAACTGGTACACCCAAAATGTCCCTAGGGCCTCTGTGAAGCAACAGTATTAGCAAAACCCTGGCTAGCATCCTTGCAGCAAAGGATCTGGCTCTAGACACAAAAGACAGAGGCAAATTCAAGCCACTGTTGTGAGAAACATAGGAAGAAAATTATAAAGAACAAACCAAAAACCTCTTATGGTGCTGATTTGAAAATATGTCCACAAATTCTTTAAGATTTCCTCCTTTTTAAAAAAAATTTTTTTTTTTTTTAAATTTTAGAAAGAGAGCACGAGCGGGAGGGGTAGAGGGCAAGGGAGGGAGAATCTCAAGAAGACCCTGCACTGAGTGTGTAGTGAATGTAGGGCTCGATCTCACAACCCTGAGATCATGACCTGAGCCAAAACCAAGAGTCAGACGCTCAACCAACTGCACCATCCAGGCACCCTGATATTTCCTCCTTCTAAGACAGTCTAATTACCATCTCCTTGAGTGTGGATTTGATTTAGTGACTAATTTGGAAGCAATAGAAAAATAGCAGGAGTGACAGTAGGTGCCTTCAAAAACTAGGTCAAAAAAGACACTGCCAGGGCGCCTGGGTGGCTCAGTTGGTTAGGTGACTGCCTTCGGCTTGGGTCATGATCCTGGAGTCCCGGGATCAAGTCCCGCATTGGGCTCCCTGCTCGGTGGGGAGTCTGCTTCTCCCTCTGACCCTCCCCCCTCTCATGTGCTCTCTCTCTCTCATTCTCTCTCTCAAAATAAATAAATAAAATCTTTAAAAAAAAAAAAAAAGACACTGCCAATTTCTTGTTTTCTCCCTTAGGTGGCTTGTTCTGGAGAAGTTACCAATCATGTCGTGAGGACAACCCAATCAGCCTATGGAGTGGGCCATCGCAAGAAACAGGGCTTCTGGGCACCTGGGTGGCTCAGTCGGGTTAAGTGCCTGCCTTCAACTCAGGTTGTGATCCCAGGGTCCTGGGATTGAGCCCCGTATCAGGTTCCCTACTCTGTTTGGGAGCCTGCTTCTCCCTCTGCCTCTGTCTCTCATGAATAAATAAATAAAATCTTAAAAAAAAGAAAAAAGAAATTGGGGGCTTCTGCCAAAAGCCACGTGAGTAAACCAACTTAGAGGCGGCTCCTCCAGTCTCAATGAAACCTTCAGAAGAGTACAGCCCTGATCAACACCCTGACTGCAACCACAAAAGAGATCCTGAGCCAGACCACTCAGCAAAGCTGCTCCTGAATTCCTGACAGAGACTGTGAGATAATAAATGTTTGTTGCTTTAAGCCATGAAATTTTGAGGTAATTTATTATGTAGCTATAATTAATATACTCCCCCCCAAAAGAAATAATACCAGATTCTTTCTTTCATTTTTAAAAGTTAAAAAAGCACCATGAGCTCATTTGATATACAATACACCACTGTGGGGGGTAAGGAGTGTGAGGTAGTAAGCCATTCTGAAGATAAAATGTTCTAAATCCATTAGTATGTTGTGGAATAATGACATTTTTTTTTAAGTCAGAGATTGTTTAAACAAAAAGAGAATAGGGAGTCTGAATAAGCAAACTTCAACAGTGTAAACTGAAGCTCAGAAATTGAATGCTGCATTTTTAATGTCCTTTTGCAGCATTCCCTCTAGCCTCTAACCTCTTTTCAGTATAGCAAAATCCTTATACTCTTTGGCAAAAACTGTTTCCCATCTCTCTCTTTTCTCTCTTTGACCCTTGGCCATTAGAGTTTAAAAGAAATTCAACTGTGAGTGCCAAGAAAGCTACTGAGGAAGAAGTTATTTCTACTAACCTGGGTGCAAATATTTGGCAGACAGAGTGCAATTTTCACCATATCAGGTAAAATGGACTGATATAAATGTTGAGCTTCTGCTTCTTCAAGTACCTGAAAACCAATAAAATATATTAGTGAATAATAACCAATGAACAAATGTTTGTTATGAAATTAAATTACATACCTGCTTTTAATAGGATCCCATAAGGCACATTATCAGTATCATTAAACACATGTAAAAGTACACCAATAGACGTGCACTAAGGTGGAACTCAGGGGAACTTACAAATTCATTTTCTTTTAAGATTTTATTTATTTATCTAACGGAAAGACAGCGAGAGGGGGAACACAAGCAGGGGGAGTGGGAGAGGGAGAAGCAGGCCTCCCGCTGAGCGAGGAGCCAGATGCAGGGCTCGATCCCAGAATCCCGAGATCACAACCCGAGCTGAAGGCAGACGCTTAATGACTGAGCCACCCAGGTGCCCTGTTTTGTTTTTTTGGTTT